GAGCAAGAAAGACGCTCTGGGCTCAGTTCCTCCGCTCGCTTCGGGGTAGGGCTGAAGCAGCCCTCCCTTCTCGCGGGGAATCCGGAGGGCACCGAGGGATGTCCCCGGCTTCTTTCGCGGAGGCGCCCCGGGAGATCCCCGGTTCTGAGCCACCTTCCGGGTCTTAACGGGCTTTCGATGGAGGCAAGCGAGAAGGGGGTCGCCGGGGCCTCCTCCCTCCCGAGGCAGCTGGATCCGGATGGGTGCACGCCGCCTGGACTGAGACTGCGGAATCCACAGGCGGTTTTCTGCCAGAGGAGCTGCGGTGCTAAAACCCGGGGCCGGCAGCTCGGCTTGGACATCCTCGTCAGAGCCCTCGGATCCCTGGACCCTCTTCGCGCCGCTGACAAGTTGCATCTTTCCCTTTGTTTTAGAGCTTGTAGCAAGGCATTCTTTATTGGCTGGACCCATCAAATCAGGCCAGGATAAAAGGGGTGCGAGAGCCCCACCTCATCCCAGCCCGGCTCAGGCCCGAAGAGCTGGCAGCCGGAAAACGCTGCGTCTTGGTTATCTCAATGCCGTGAGAGCCGATCCTATGGAAGTTTACTCTGAAATAACACCCAAAGAGATTGTTATATTGTAGATTTAATCTGGAGCTAAACTGAGAGGCCAGTTTTAAAGGTCGACGGGGAGGTTTTGCGTTTCATTCCTTCCCTCCGTTAATTTGGCACTTTGGGAAGCCCTGCTTGGGAGTGATTACGCGTTTTGGCGCTGCGAGAAAGATGCATTCTGAATTTTCAAACCGTTTCACTACCATTATTAGTTACTGAGCGCAAAACTGGGTTCTTGCATTTCAGTCATGTATACGTTTCCTTGAAAGTCGTAAGAATCGCGGCTTGTTAACGAAATAGCGATGGATTTAGGCTCTGAGCCGAACCAAAACATTTGGGGCTTACTGCCAAGTAAGTGTACAGGATCGCAGTCTTAGAACGCTACTCAAGCGACTGGTGTTACTGCTGTCCTCATTGGCGCGAACTCCTGGACAGAAACATCCGTAAACTTTTCGTGGGACACCCAGGGAGATGGCGTTGGTCCTGAATTAAAGTGTTTCCAAAATATCAGAATTCCCCTTGTGCAAGAATGACTTGGGTACAGATGCCGAAGGGGTAGCCAAAACAACTCAGAAGAGTCTAACCAGTTGAGGATGGCGTAAGTATTCCTGGGTCCTGTATGCACGGGTACAAATTAAAAGAAGATTTCGCCCCGACACCACCACCACCACCCTCCTTCTGTTTGTTCGGTGCTGGGGGCTTTACGCGCGTCTAGCAGACTCTGGATGAGGGGACCTTAGGGCGCCACAAATTCTGCAGTCCCGCACTCTCCTTGTCCGTGGATGCGAGGCTCTTAGGAGATCTCCAGCTGAATTGGGATGTAGGGAACGGTTGAGGATGGACAAGCTGCCTGGCACGCTTCCGTCGGCGAGCAAGGGAAGGATCGCCTGCGTCACCAACGAAACTTCAGCCGACACGCTGGGGGGGGGGGGGTGACTGGCCCGGGCACCGGCGCAGGAACACCATGGAGGGCGTGCTCCGCTCGCCCTCCTCCCCGACGCTCCTGGAAAGCTTTCGAACTTCGCAACAGGAGGCCGTCGCGGTCCTCGAGCCCAGTAGCCTGTCTCTGACACTGTCCAGACCCGGAGACTTCAGGAAGCCTGAGAAGCGGGGGGGGAGGGGTGTCAAAAAGTCTTCTCTTCCCTCCTAGCCTCTGAGGGAGGGATACTCGGGGCACCTTCACCAGCCGAAGAGGTGCCTGGTTGGTGAAGAATTCCGGTCTCCGAAACATTCAACTGGACCATAAGCACAAACACGAACCTTTGGTTCCGTTACCTTTCTGGTAGCGAAGAGATTCTCGTGTAAAATCCTGCTTTATGCGAGACAACGATTTTATTTGCTTTAAATGAGGTGGTGATTTTTTATAGTCCAGTCCTCTTTGGTCCTTTTTTCCGGAACCTGAAGATCTCGCCTGTAACCAAAAGTCGCTCTGAGCGCTTTGCTTTGTTCTTCCTGCCCCATCACACCCTTTCAAAAATAATGCTGCGACTGCAATCCCGGGCACCCACCCACCCCCGCCCTCCTCTGGGAGTAAATCCCACTGAACAAAGCGAGACTACTTACTTTTCAGTAAACCTGCACGGCCCTGCCTTTCTCCATTATGGTGGCAGCCGGCCATTGAACGGGCTTTCCCAGGGCTCTGTTGTCAGGGTGCCGAGGAGCCCATCCGTCACCCTTCTCCGAGTAAATCCCACCGAACGTGGGAGACGATTAAGCATTAGCCCAGCAAGGGATACGACCTAGCACAGGCATGGCTGCGAATCGATCCAACACACCTTCTGATGTAAGAAGTCCTGTCAATTTCGGGGACCTGCCTGATGCCCCCTCAGCCCTCCTCTGGCAATCACTTCGCCACTCTCCTGGCTCCCCGCAAACTCTGCAAAACTTGTCTACGCAGGCAATAGGGCAGCACTGCACGAAAGTTACTTGGATAAATCATTGGGAACCGTGGTCTCCATTATTACTGTGTATAGTTTGCTGTGGGTCGGATCTTGTGTAATTTCGCGTCATTTAATGTGTCATGGTAACAGTTATGCTTTGCTTCAGTTTTGTTTTTTAGACTTCTGGTTGGCTCTACAACCCTAATCCTATTTCATGGTTTACTGAATGACCCATCCCGTCGGTTGTGTATTGGCTCACTCTGTGTAACCCGCCTTGAGTCCCAGAAGAGAGAAAGGCAGACTATAAATAAGGTGGATAAGTGCCTGTTTATCAGCCATGAATGTCAATGGATATTCTCTCGCTGTCTTTACTTGGGGAGCTGGAGATGTGTCTGAATTCCTGCTTTAGATTTAGCTTGCTTAAAGAAGTTGATAAGATATTGAGCAAGTTTCTCCACTCCTTTCATGAACTGTGAAGGATATATTCAAAAGTACCCTGGTCCATTCAGTCACCTCTTCCTCCTTTGCAACCAGCTGAAGGGCCCAGCGAAAGGCCAGGTTTGTTTTTAATGAGAGGCCGCCTTAAGATGTTGGCTCGGAAAGTCCAGTTGCGACAGATCAAGAAAGGAGTCGGGAGGAGGAAAGAACAAGCCGCGGAAACCCCCCCCCCCCCCCCAAAGCGTTTCTGGCTCGTGGAGATTCCTCGGTTTGGCGCCCTTCGGGAACCTCTCTGGCCTTTGCCCAGTTTGGAGTTTGTGATTCATCGCTTCAGAATTCGGGATTTGTCCTTCATTACTGTGATATGTCCGTAACTGGGAACACATGCTCCAAGGACAAAGCCTCTCGTTGGGGAAATGAGTAATCATCAGTGGCAAACTGGGGGAAGCCAGGTTTCAGCCCCTCATCTTGGCCGTCTAGGTGCAGGCACCCCGTGGGCGGCGTTGCCGAAAGGGATGCTGCTAAAAGGAAGACAAAGTGCCCCCTCCCGGGGGGAGGGGAGATTTTTAGACGCCCGGGTTTTCTTTTTTCCCCAGTGAACAGATTTTTGGAGACTCGAAGTCCTGACTTCGGCTGGTTTGCAACAAGGCCGAGATCTCCTGGGGAAGCCAAGAAGCGCCGGGCCTCCAGGTCTCGGCAGGGCCCTAGGAGTGCCCGAAGCCCCTGCAGCGAGTTTGCCACCCGGCCGCTCCCGGCGGCGAGCTGAAGGTGTTCTTGCCGCGGTGTTCCGTATCTAAGCAGAGGGGTTGAAGGCGAGAAACGTCAGGCCCTGAGGGGCTCTCGGTCCAGTCTATCCAGGGAGACTCCAACCCAGAAAAAGCAAAGGACAGCAGCAGGGGACGCGGGGTCTCTTGGCGCGCTCCCCAGTCCCAAAGAGACGGGTGCCAGCCAGGCCAGGCCGGCGACATTGTCCGAGGGGTGTCCGCGCCCCCAGCGCCCCCTAGCGACGGGAAGGGAGCGGAAGGATCTTGCACATCCTCCGGCCTCAGACTCGGGGCTTCACAGTGGAGCCCTGCGCCGGAGATAACC